GTATAATATAGATGTGTTTTTCTCCAGGCTAATGTAATATGTATATCCAAGCTATTTGTGGCCAGCACAACATTCCCAGTTCTTATTACCGTGGTCAAAGCAAGTGGCAGTACATAAAAATAAATGGATATGAAAAGGAGACCAGGTCATTCAACAGAGCAAAATTATTTGTACGGCGGCTCTGTTAAATGTGACTTTTGGACTTAATGATATCAACTTAAGTTTCACTAAAATAGCTCACAAATGCATAAATGCTTTGCCAACATGTTTTTTTCATATAATTAATTATCCCCTTAAGGGTTTACATACATGTATACTGTTTAAAGCCTTTGCCAACAGTGTCAAAAATGGGGGTCCCATTCTGCTGTGACATACAACATACTTGATCAAAAAAGTTAAACATTTCATATACTGTAATGTTCATAGAAAATCATTACACAGTTGGCAGAGATGAGATACCAGGTTGCATTTATGGAAGAAAACTGTGAATTTTTGTTGCTAGTAATAATAGGTGTGTAGGAAGCAGGGACTGCTTAACATAAAACACTGAAAATTTGTTTATGTACAATAACTGGCACATCATACGTTCATGAATCATGTTAAAACCATCATCCCCTACATGAACCATCAAGTATTTACTAAGTAAATACTCCCAGCATAAGGAGACTAGACATTGCTGATCCCTAGAGCTTCCAAACTCAGCCATATGGGATACACTGTATTTGTCATTGTCATGATTGATGAGAGCTGCGGAATATTTAGTTATAGTGAATCATTGCACACACTCCTTTGGGAAGAAGTTCATGTTCTGTGATTCTTCATGGTGCATGTGTGAATATTTTTTTCATGTTGCAGCAACGTAATCACATTATTCATCAAGTACAAAGTTAATTATTTATAAAGACACAGTACACATAAAATGATAATGCTGTATTGATGCAGTTGGCACTGTTTGAGTCTATGAAAAAGAGACCATTCGAATATTCAGGTAATAATTCTGCATTGTATAAGAACAAAACACATAAATCAATGCACACAGCATCCAAAGTACTAGGATTGTATGAAGGAAATATCAAGGAGCATCCAGGAAATCTAGGTATAGGTGCTCACTATGACATATATAATATGTAACATGCACATTCTATCACTGAATATAGAAATATGTTGAGTAGTGTGGCTTAGAGACACAAGGATAAAATGTTTGCATGCTTCCTAGTCTCACTCTAGCTGGAGGGATCCAATCTGTCCTGAGGACCATGGTGGATTTGCTGGTAACTTGAATGGCCAGTTTAAGCCTCAAGGTAAGTTTCCTGTGCTGTCCAATTTTATAAGACAAGATACACTTATAATGTTGTAGGCTACTGAAAGATGTGAAGCTGATTTGATTTGTCAGGGTCATGGGGACCTAGAGGGGTAATGGTATTAAAAGAACTCACTAAAAGAACTCACATTGTGATGTCAAAAGATGTTCTTAGAAATATTATTTCAATCCCACGCTCGCTAAAGCGAAAACACCTTTACTTTTGCTCATTGCTACTTGGTGCTTGGTTTCAGTTAGCCAGCCAGGAACCACAGTGCAATTAGGATCATACATGAAAGTAAATGCACAATAATCCACATTTTTTGTTACTTAAAAAAATAATTGACATAAACATGAAAAAAAGTTTTCTTGCTTTGATGGCTCTGCCAAACAATACATTAGCCTATTTTAATAAACTTGTATGAATTTAATATTTCATTTTCTGTTGCTGATTAGAAGATATATTTATCTGATAACTGCAGATTCTCAGGAATACCTAGGTAAATGTCCAAAGAACCTGTTGGTAACTTTGACAGTTATATCATTCTTACCAAGATTTTCTATCATTTTTCTGACCCAACATAAAGGGGTATATTTATTTAAAAAAAAAGAAAAGTTGGATGAATGTCACAAGCATTTGTCCAGCCATCATAAATTCTGACATTATCTTTCCAAGTACGTTGATTTCTTAGAAATGTTAGCGCCATCTATTGGCCATAATATGGTATTTTTCCTAAAATATCTCAATCAGGAAAATACTGTAATCTGATCACTAGATGGAGCTGATCATATTAGACACAAAGTCAGAGTTTGTGATGGCTGGGAGAATGCTTGTGACATCTATCCATCAATATTTTTTATAAATGGTCCCGAAACTGTATGTTCAGCCAAAACTGTTTTTTTTTTAAATTAAGGATAGAGGAGAAGGGTTAAAACCCGTCAGTTTTTTTTTGTTGCTGCCTGTGCCCTATTGGGGAGATTTCTCTTCGTGTCCTGGAGACACATCAGGAAATGAGAAGAAATGTCTACAAAATACAAGGTCCCCTCTTGGACAAACCTAAAATAGTGGATGGTGCTGCTCTACCACACTTTTCATATGACTAATACTGTGCCATTAAAGTAGAACAACCTATATACCTGTGCCAACATAAGCAAAATAAAATACATGTGTATACATGATCAATAAAATCCTTATTAAACACGTGTTGAGTTTCTGTGTTATCTCGTTAACTCCCCTAATGAAATCATGTGACCCAAGATATAATGCATAGGGCAGAACCTGGGCGATGTGGACCAGAAATTACTTTTTTTAACCACTGGCGGTATTTCTATGCATGTTATGACATGCTATTGGGTTATGACATGCTATTGGGTTTTAAGCAGTGAGTGTTTTTTTTTTTACAATAAACTATTTTGTTTTAATTACTACATCATTGGAGGCTTTATATCTCTCAACATGGTTCTGATAGAGTGATACAGCATGGCTGCACCAGTGTTTGATATCTTTAAAAGGGACCCACACTGAAGTTCAATGGATTACAGCATAAGTGCAAAAGTGGGCACCTAACGTAACAGGAGGTCCTGGTGAATACAACACAAGTGCCCAGATGAGTATCCAAGTGTACAGAAGAACCTGGTGAATGCATCACATGCGTTATATGACCTTGCATTCTATGAGGGTCGTATAAGTGAGGTGAGAGCACTGAGATGGTACATATGGATGTTACTTGTCACAGTATTGGAATTTCACTGGTTTCTGGTATTCTCAGTCAGTTATACAAAGAACTTATGTGCATGCACTGTATAAACATTAATGCTTGGCACAAATAATAATTACATGGTGTTAACGTGAGATAGCACAGAGACTGAACAAGTGTTTGATAAGGATTTTATTGATTATGTATACACTTATATTTTATTTATTTATTTTTCTTTATTTTACTTATGGTGGCAAAGGTATATAGGTAGAAAAAATATAATGACACAGTATTAGTCATATGTAAATTGTGGTAGCACAACACCATTCACTATTTTAGGTTTCATTATATGTGGGAACACTAGGTGCTAACAGCACACGTTTGATTGATTTTTGAGGTAGCACTGGAGTTATTTTAAGTTTATCCCCTCTTCGACAGTTTTTACCAAAAAGATGTCCCTAATGGCAGATTTACCTTTGCATCTTGTTCTGGTCACAGTTCTAAAGCTTTGGATTTCCCACCACTTTCTGTGTTGGCGATGGCGGTCACCAGGACAAATAGGGGTAAATAAAGGTGACTTTACCTAACCAGGATAAAAACAGCAATACACATCCACTCTACCCAAAACTATCCAAAACTAAAAATGTTTGGCTACACGTATATTTTAAAAGATTATCTCATGGCCCTTGAAACAGAGGTTCCATTGTCTTTCCTGGGCACCAGTCAGTCATATATGGACTTTCACCCAAGGCAAGCCAGAACAGGGGATCACAAATATTTTTTTTTTTTTAACTATTAAAGTAATTTTTAAGTTTAAAATGGATCTATGAGTGAATAAGGAATCTTAACTCTCAATCCAGTATGTCAGGATGCATATTCCTTTTGAAAATATTTTTCAGGTTATGAAAGTTGTGTAATCTTTACTGCAACTGTCTTTCTTTAACCTTCTCTGTGCTCTCCCACCACTCCATTCGCCTGCGGGAGTGCTAAACCATGTGATAGCTTGGTTTGTGTCAGAGCTTACACAGGTTACTGACCTTCTCCATTCCCTTGTGGTGCACTGCATCCTGGTAGGAAGAAGAGGTCAATTGTTCCCCATCTCCGGAAATACCGGATGTTTCTCAGCACTCCCAGAGACATAAAAGAGCAGTGAGGAATTGAGGCAAAAAATGTATGTATGAGTCCCTTCAATTCTTAAAGCAGTGTTGTTTATAACAGTCCTTATGGTTAAAGTATCCATGCCAAGTGTTTATAAAGCACTACAAACAGTAAATGTGAAAAAGGAACCAAGTATTACTACTCTGTCTCGAAGTGTGCATTACATTTGGTCCTTCAGCCTAAACTTTTTCTTGTATGTGGCTCTATGCCAAGACTATTGTGTATAGTTCCTAACTGAAGTTTTTTACTATCACATCCTAGAAAGATACCAGTAAATGTGACTCAGCTAGGAGGATAAAGCTTTAGATGCTTGAGTACACACCAGTAAAGCCATATCTTTGTTCTGTGTACATACCTGTATTCTACACTGTCCTTGCATTGCAAGATCATGATTATAGATATTTATGACTATTTATTTAATATAGTTGAAAATCCAGGAAGCAGATTCTATTCTATTATTGCACAAATCCTCTAAGAGTTAAAAAACCACATGATGGGAGCTGTCTCATGCACACACAGGTTTGTTCTTCCTAGCATCCTGAAGGCTTCTTCAAGCTGCGTGACAGAAGCAAGCCCCTTATGGTTGTCCCATAAGATGAATATCACATTTCTGGGAGTGGGATGGCACACTATGAGTCAGAGCAGCGGGATCAGCAGGAAGAATGGCCTGTGCTGTATTCCACAACAAGAATACTGACATGGCATGAACATGGTGCCTCCAAGATAGGGACATTATGGCTGATGTGGGCACTGCCCTTTCAAGTCCAGATATTAGTGGAGCGATTGAGGCACAGCTTCGCCAAAGTGGCGCAGTCAAATGGGAAACATGGGCATTAATTCACAGGTCAGCGGGACATCATACGGACAAACTCTGTAAAAAAAAAAAAGAAATTATAAAAAAAGTAAATACATACAGTACATTATTGTTCTTTTTAGCCCCCAAATTTGTGGCTGTAAAGAAAGACAGATGGCAACTAGACACCATGGGGTTTATTTACTAAAGCTGGAGAGTCCAAAATCAGACTCCCTTCTGCATAGAAACCAATCAGCTTCCAGGTTTCATTGCCAAAGCTTCATTGAACAAGCTGAGGTTAGAAGCTGATTGGTTTCTATGCAGAAGGGAGTCTGATTTTGGACTCTCCAGCTTTAGTAAATAAACCCCCAAGTTACCACAGCAATGTTAGAGATTGGAGGGGATATAAACATTATTTGTTGCACTGCTTTTGCTAATTTATATACAGCCTCACACATTGAAGTGGAACAAATTAATCTTCATGTTGCACTACTACGCATGCTGACATTTATATTCCTCATGTTTGTACTTTCTTTTTTAAAAACAATAAAAAGATTTAAATATAAATTATTCAGCCTCATCATCTTAATGTTAATTAGATTTGTGTATATCCCCAAACCTGAATGAGATTCTTTCGGATGAGATCCTTTCATTTTTTTCCTTTTGGTAAACATACCACTGGTCATTATTCACCAAGACATTTAAAATTAGAATATTTTATTAGGAAATGTAGTCTAAGTCTAGAACAGTAGGTCTTACTAACCTTCAAAATCCACTTGTCCATCCCCATTTAAATCAACATCACGTATGATATCCTCAATGTCTCTGTGACCAACTTGTTGTCCCAGAAGCTTTTTCATTGCCTCCCGTAGTTCACTTGTACTGATTTCTCCATCTCCATTTGTATCAAACTAAAAAGATTTGCAAGATAATAACACATTTGATAATAATAACTGTAAAAAAGAAAGATAGGTTTACACAACAGGGCTTTTGAGGCTTCCCTCACCTCTTTGAAGGCATCTCGAAGTTCTTTTACTCCAATCATATCTGCTGTCTCTGCAAGAAGCTTAGGACCCATTAACTCCACAAAGTCATCAAAGTCAACATGACCTCCAACTATAAATATTGAGAAGGATAGGGGAAAAAAAGGGTAAATAGGTTACAGTTTTGTAATTTATCATTCTGTTTTTTCAGCCCCTAGCTTACATTTCTAATACTTGATTAATCTTTTGCATAATCCAAGTCATGATAAATATGTGGGGTCAGTTTGCTATGAGTGAATAATGAGACACCCCTATTGTAAATGTAGAAGTTTACAATGAGAGAGGGACATGACTCACGGTTCATATTGATTTGCTGAGACAGTTCTATTAACTCCATCTCGGTTGGCATGTATCCCATGGTCCTCATGCAATCCCCTAGGTCCTTACAGCTGATAAATCCATCCTTGTCTTTGTCAAACTCTTTGAAGGCTTCTCTGAGCTCTGTAGACAACAATATAATGATTAAATTATACAGAATTTTATTAAACCGAACAAAAGATGAGAACAAAATATATTACATGTGACACCAAATAGTCATTTAGAAATTGATAATGAAAATTGCCATTAATGTCATGCAAGGAATTAGTTGAAACATGTCATGTACTCATGATCTGGATAGATCTACAAACTTGGAATCATATGGCCCTGTGAACTGGATTGTACCATTTGTGTCCATAGTGCCCATTCCATCCATCATCCTGTATAATTTAGATCTCCAACATCAATCTGTGTCTGAAAATCTTAATTCATCATAATATATAAATTGATAATGAAAATTGCCATTAATGTCATGCAAGGAATTAGTTGAAACATGTTATGTACTCATGATCTGATGATCTGGATAGATCTAAAAACTTGGATTTATCTGGCCCTGTGAACTGGATTGTACCATTTGTGTCCATGGGGCCGTTCCATCCATCATCCTGTATAATTTAGATCTCCAACACCAATCTGTGTCTGCAAATCTTAATTCATCATAATATATAAGTAGATATTTTCCTTTACAGTCTTCACATAAAACAATATAGTTTTATTTATAATACATGATTTTACATTTAGCAAGTACACATCCAGTTTTTCCACAGTGTGTTCCATACAATTCAAGCTGTTTACAAATTTGAGCTTCTCAGAACTCTGGCAACCATGCTTTTCTTTGTCATTCAATATAAATGAAAAATGAATATATCCAACTTGTGCTCCAAAGCACTGTGGGAATAGAAAGGAAGATGACTCACTGAAGATGGGTGATGTGTCCTCTTCACCTTTGAATAACTACAGCATTGCCAGGACCTGCCACAATTTTCTTTTCAATTAGATAAATGGATGTAGCACACATAAGGTAATATTGTGTCATTTTCAAGTTTAGCTAAAGGGTACTGTAAGTTCTTCCTGGACAATTATTAATATGGCTGCACAGCAATCGTGGGGCAATCAGTAAAAAAGTTATATGAAGCAATGTACAAAGACATATACAGTCATGGCCAATAATATTGGCACACATCAAAAACCCCCAGAAATGGTTTAAGTCAAAGCATTGGAGAGTACTGAACTGGCCAACAATGAGTCCAGATCTCAATTCCATAGAGCACCTGTGGAGAGATCTCAAACCAGTAGTTGGGAAAAGGAACCCTTCCAATCTGAGAGACCTGGAGCAGTTGGGGAAAGAGTGCTCCAAAATTCCAATAGAGAGGTGTAAGAAACTAATTGTTGGTTACAGGAAGCAATTAATTTCAGTTATTTTTTCCAAGGGGTGTGCTACCAAATATTGAGGGTGCCAATAATTTTGTCCAGTCCATTTTTTGGTCTGAAAGACAGAATAGCAACAAAAAATTCAAAAGAAATGCACGTCTAACAAATTATGCACTGATTTGCATGTTCATGAGGGAAAAAAGTATTTGATCCCCTTCACAAAACATGACTTTGTGATTGCCAACAAGGGATTTGCCACCAAGTACTGAGATCAGACGTTTCCTGTAGTTGGCCACCAGGTTTGCACACATCTCAGGAGGGATTTTGGCCCACTCCTCCTTGGCTGATCCTCTCCAAGTCTTTAAGGTTTGGTGGCTGATGTTTGGCAACTCAAACTTTTAGCTCCCTCCACAGATTTTCAATCGGATTAATGTCTGGAGACTGGTTAGGCCACTCCTTTGTTGCTTTGGCAGTGTGTTTTGGGGCATGGTCATGCTGGAACACCCATCCACGACCCATTTCCAATGCCCTGGTTTGAGGGAAGAAGGTTCTCACCGAAGATTTGACAGTACATTGCCCCGTCCATCGTCCCTTTGATGCGGTGCAGTTGTCCTGTCCCATTAGCAGAAAAAACACCCCCAAAGCAGAATGTTTCCACCACCATGTTTGACAGTTGGGATGATGTTCTTGGGGTCATAGGCAACATTCCTCCTCCAAACACAGTGAGTTGAGTTGATACCAAAGAGCTCGATTTTGGTCTCATTTGACCACAACACTTTCAACCAGTCCTCCTCTGCATCATTCAGATGTTCAGTGGCAAACTTCAGCCGGGCCTGGACATGTCGGCGTAGTGTGTTACCAATTGTTTTCTTGGTGACTGTGGTCCCAGCTGCCTGGAGATCATTGACAAGATCCTCATGTGTAGTTCTGGGATGATTCCTCACTGTTCTCATCATCATTGACACTCCACGAGGTGAGATCTTGCATGGTGCACCAGACCTAGGGAGACTGACAGTTGTTTTTTTGTTTGTTCCATTTGCGAATGATTGCACCAGCTGTTGTCACCTTCTCACCAAGCTTCTTGGCGACAGTTTGGTAGCCCAGTCCAGCCTTGTGTAGGTCTACGATCTTGTCCCTGACATCCTTGGACAGCTCTTTGGTCTTTGCCATGGTGGAGAGTTTGGAATCTGATTGTTTGATTGCTCCTGTGGACAGGTGTCTTTCATACCGGTAAGAAAATGAGATTAGCGGCACTCCCTTTAAGAGACTGCTTCTAATCTCAGCTTGTTACCTGTGTGAAAGACACCTGGTAGCCAGAAATACTGATGAATGATAGGGGATCAAATACTTATTTCCCTCATGAAAATGCAAATCAGTGCATAATTTGTTAGACATGCATTTCTTTTGAATTTTTTGTTCCTATTCTGTCTCTCAGTGTTACATTACACCTACCATTCGATTTTTAGACTGACCATTCCTTTGTGAGTGGGCAAACATTCAAAATCAGCAGGGGATCAAATACTTATTTCCTTCACTGTGTATGTATATATACATACACACACACACATATATATATATATACACACACACTGCATGTTGAAATGCGTTTTTAATACAAAATATATGAAAAATATTTTTAAAAATCTATTTAAAATATACTGTATGTCTTTAAAAATACAAATCCACATTTTTGGAATTTACAAATATATGTGAAAATATATGTTAAAAAGATTTTTTTTATATGTTAAAAACAATCTGAAGAATATATTGAAAAAAAAATTTTAAAAAATATATTTCATATATTTTGTAATATATAAAAAATGCACTTCAACATGCAGTATATATATATATATATATATATATATATTTATATATATAAATACATTTTTTAATTTTTTTTTTTTAAATATTTTGAAAATGGCCAAAATTGTAGCATTTCAAATATATGTCAATATATTTGGGAAGAATATCTTTCAAATATATTTGAAATATATTTTTCTTCCATGTGGGATGAGTCAGAGGAGTCAGATTAACAGATAATAGGAACGATCCAGATGTCCCCCCCCCCCCCCCCCCCACTCCAGCTAAAACGAGACCTGCTAGGACCTTACAGAAATTAATAGATTTACCAATATGTTTGTATGTGATAATGATTGTTTATATAGTTTGCTTTTATTGCACCATGTATGGTCAGCCCAGCATTAGTTCACTAACAAGCTACCACTAGCAATAAACAGAGACAAAATGGGAAGCTGTGGTTACAGGTTAGCTCACCCTATGGAGGTCAGACAAACAAAGACAGGTTAGGTGTGTGTACCCATATGGAAGAAAAACATATTTGAAGTATATTTTAAAAATAATCTTCCCAAATATATTGCCATATATTTGAAATTCTACAATTTTGGCCATATTCAATATATTTCAATATATATATATATATATATATATATATATATATATATATATATATAAATAAAATCATGTTGAAATGCGTTTTTAGTACAAATTTTTAGATTGAATATAATATAATACATTTTTAGATTGAATATAATATACAAATTCATTTATTAAAGTCCATTAAATGTGGACTGACTACTCCACCAGGTAGTCAACAAATGAGTAAAACATAGCCAACTATTCATATAATTGAGCTTGACGATTACATGTCCCGCTATTAGTGCCGACGCGTTTCAAAGTCTACATCTGCTTCTTCAAAAATATTCTTTCCAAATTATATATATATATATATATATATATATATATATATATATATATATATACATACACATACACACACACACACACACACACACACACATATATATATATATGTATACACACACATACACACACACACACACTGCATGTTGAAATATGTTTTTATTACAAAATATATGAAAAATATTTTTAAAAATACATTTCAAATATACTGTATGTCTTTAAAAATACAAATCTACATTTTTGGAATGCAGTTACAAATATATGTAAAAATATATGTTAAAATGAATTTTTTATATTTTAAAAAAAAAAATCGGAAGAATATATTTAAAATATATATATTTTTAAAAATATATATTTTTAAATATATTCTTCAGATTTTTTTTAACATATAAAATAGTCATTTTAACATATATTTTTACATATATTTGTAAATGCATTCCAAAAATGTAGATTTATATTTTTAAAGACATACAGTATATTTGAAATGTATGGTTAAAAATATTTTTCAATCTTTAAAAGTACAAATCTACATTTATGGAATGCATTTACAAATATATGTAAAAATAGAATTTAAAATACATTTTTTATATGTTAAAAAAATCTGAAGAATTTATTTACAAAAAATATATTTTTAAAAATATATATTTTTACATATATTTGTAACTGCATTCCAAAAATGTAGATTTTTTTAAATATATTCTTCAAATTTTTTTAACATATAAAAAATTAATTTTAACATATGTTTGTAAATGCATTCCAAAAATTTAGATTTATATAGTTTTAAAAAAAAACATACAATATATTTGAAATGTATCTTTAAAAATATTTTTCATATATTTTGTAATAAAAATGCATTTCAACATGCAGTGTTTGTGTGTGTGTATATATTTCTTGAAATATATTGAATATAGCCATATATATATATATATATATATATATATATATATATATATATTTTATTCCAGGTACTTATATAGCGCTGTCAATTTTACGCAGCGCTTTACATATATATTGTACATTCACATCAGTCCCTAACCCTCAAGGGGTGTACAATCTAAGGTCCCTAACTTACATTCATACATACATATACTAGGGCCAATTTGGACAGGAATCAATTCACCTACCAGCATGTCTTTGGAGTGTGGGAGGAAAGTGGAGTATCCAGAGGAAACCCACGCAGGCACAGGGAGAACATGCAAACTCCAGGCAGGTGGTTTTGTGGTTGGGGTTCGAACCAACGACCCGAGTGCTGCCAGGCGGAAGTGCTAACCATTTAGCCACTGTGCTGCCCAAAATATTGAATATGCCCAAATATATTGAATATGGCCAAAATTGTAGCATTTCAAATATATGTCAATATATTTGGGAAGAATATGTTTTAAATATATTTAAAATATGTTTTTCTTCCATGTGGGTGTGTTGGGGTGGGGGGGGGGTCTGTTTTTTAAACAGTGCTCAATGGTAGTCAATATCTCCTGCTAGGAAAATATGCCTAGGAAGTAATAATGAGGAAAGTATCCCTTTTAGTTTCAGGAATTCTTCAGCATTAGCTTAGGTTCAGACATACGTGTTCCCAAATCGCTCAATTTAGGGTAGCAATTTATCTTGAATGCCAATGCTTTTTCATGCGATTTATGGACAGTCACCCTCTCTCTCTCTTGCTATGCAAAAACGCCTTAGAATAGCATTGCCTCTAGAACAATGATCTGGTTCAGCAATGATTTGCATTATATTCTATGAGCTGTAATTTGGGAACGCATCCTCCAAAACTCACACAGGACCCTTTTGCAAACCGTTCTCAAAACACTGTGCGGATTCATGGCATATATGTAAACAACCTCCATAGGACCACATTCCTTCCCTCCTGCCATGCAATCACTGCCCATCAAAACGCGTCACAAATTGTACATGTGCATATCAGGGTTTACTGTGGTGTACACATATTATCAAGGATTTCTGAAAAGATACATTATACCATTCATCCTCCTGAATTCATAGACCATGAAGAATATTATATACGTCTACTATATGACATTGTTTTGTCTTTGCACACAAGTGTTGTTTACCTTCTATTTCCTCTGGGCGCAGCTCTCTGTCCTATAACAGAACATATTGAAACACAGATTAGAGAAAGAAGAGAGCATTGCAGTTGGTGAATGAACAGGATTAAATGGCTGAACTACAATAATCTGTACAATAATCATGCACAAAAGTCTGTGGGGTACAAGGGAAAGGTCTGTGATTGCTGAGCATTGTATGTTTTCCTTGATTTTAATCAGATGTAGGTTGTACTTTGTACTAACTTGTCACTTCATTAAGTTTGCAATAAAAAAAAGAGTAATTATCTATGCATGCATAGCTTTTCCAACATAAAAGCATAGAAAAGCAATCACATTCAATATAAATATGACGTCAACAAATGCATTATTTAAAAATGTTCATATTATACATGGAATAATGTAAGCCCTACAGTAAATTGTAAGGACGCTAGGATTCACACTGAAGTTCACAAGCCACGTGAATGCACAAAGCCTCCGGCTGAGTTTATTAAGATCACTGAACTCCACGCTGAATGCTAAAATGCTGACTTTTTTTTTTTTTTTCCAGGGGAACACGTTTTTCCTTATAAAATACCTAAACTCAGACATTGATCTGTTCCATTGCAGACATAAAAGGCTCCACACAGATGGCAGTTGGACTGAGGCTTGTTATACAGCTGATACCCACATACAGTGCCATAGCCAATTAAAGAGAACCAGCCACAATTGGTCTCATGGAAAATTCTGAACATTCCATCTTAAATGATCACAAAGGTACAGGCCTAAATGTGAAATATTTATTTCTCCCAACTGCCTGATCTCATTCCATTAACATATGCTGTCACATGAGTGCGCTTATCATCATTACATAACAATAGTTGATGAATGTAAACAATTATAAGGCTCTGCACTTAAAGTGTTACTAAACACACGATGGTAAAATCAGTCTGTATATGCAGTAAAGCATGCTTGTTATACTCACTGTGGAACCTAAGGGGTTAATCATCTGCATTGTGTAAAAATGCTGTTTGATCCTGACTTCTATGATCCTCCCCTTCTTCCAGTGTCCCCCCCTCTTATCTACTGATAAAACATAAGTGTATAGACACTCTGCACATGCTCAGTTTGGTGTGTATTGCTAGAGAGCAGGGGCGGACTGACCATTTGGAAACTCAGGGACTGCCTGAGGGTCCGGGGTCAGTAGGGGGCCCCATGAGATGCCCTTGGTACCTTTTTCATAGGCTTTTTTTAGTTTGGGCAAGGACTCAGGGGCCCCATGATTCCCTATTACTTGGGGGCCCCATGAGTTGTCAGTCCGCTCCTGCTAGAGAGGTTTTTTTTCCTTGGGAGAGTGCATGTGATCAGCACAGGGCCAATCAGCACTGCCCAGACAGAGGTCAGGGGTTATGCAGGCTCCTTGAACAAAATGGAAACTCCTCCTACAAGATTAACCAGTGCTTGGCGGAACACTGATAGAAGCCACAAGACTGTTATATGCTGCAGATGAGAAAAGGTATTTAGCAGTTTATATTTACTAAAATAATTGTACTTCCTTGCTCTGTGTACTGTGGGAGACCAGATATAGTGAATGCAGGGTCCTAGGTTTAGTAACTCTTTAATACTGCTATGGTTAGGAGCTGGGAGAAAGTGCATGCTATCAGCATAAGTTCAGACTTTTGACAGGAAGCCAAGGTCACACCACAGGAGGCCTCCCACCTCTGGCTTTAATTCCAAGACTCTACTTCCAACATACAAGGTAAATAACCGTGGTAAACATAAATCTTTCATAGAGGAGCCTGTAGACCTATAACAAATTAAAGAGGAACTAAAGTCTCATTTACAAAAACTGTGAGCAGACAGGCTCTTTACCAATGAAATGAGCCTACACCTCTGCCCACAGTATTATTTGGAATGTACAGTGTACATTCCGGCACAGATCCTATGTGCCAGAATGACTGATCTCCTGAACATGCCCAGGAGTGACGTCATCCCACGCATGCTAATGAAAACATCTGCAGCCCAGCACCTGGAACAAGGTAGAAAAAAACGCCAGAGGGACGTTGAAGTGGAGGTAATCATTGCGAACTCTAGTTCAGCTTTAGGTTCCTTTCACATGGGTGTTCCGTATCTCCGTTTTTAATCTGTCCATTTATGGATTAAAAATGGACCCCCATGTATTTCTATGGACTTGTGGATGTAAACGGAAGAACATCTTTTTTACATCCATTAATGTCCGCATCCGTTAACATCCGTTTTTTTTTGAACAAAAAGAAAACCCTATTTTTCTTCACTAAAAAACGGATGTCAACGGATGTAATCGGACCAAAAATGGATGTAATTGGATGAAAACGGACATAATTGGATGAAAAACGGATGTAAAACGGATCTGGATGGATGAAAACCGGATGTAAACCAATGTAAAGAGATGAAAAAACTGATGTAAATGGATGAAAAAACAGATATAAACTCATCAGTTTTTTCTTTGAAAAAAACGTGACTGAACTGAAGAAGAAAAAAAACTGAACAACCATGTGAAAAAGGACCCTTAAGACTGAATTCTTACATAAACCCAGTGGCTAAGTGGTTAGCACCTCTGCCTGGCAGCTGGTCTTTGGCACGACCATTGCTGTGGGTATTGCCAGAAGTGTGTGCTGCAGAATCACACCCTGCTCTGTAGTGCAGGGCATACAGTGAGGGGGGGTTGGGGTTGTGTCCTACAATGGGAAAAAAGTGAGTTGTTGGAAAGAAGAGGTCCTAAATGTGCCATTATAGGAAATCCACTTGCAATACAAGATTTCTTCTGCAAGGAATTCAACTTTAATATAGAAGGCATTTTAAATATATATGTAATCAACATAACACTTTTACACTTCGGATAGATTTACTAAAACCGTGGCAGTCAGAATCTGGTGAAGCTCTGCATGGTAGCCAATCAGCTTCTTACTTCAGTTTGTTCAATTAAAGTCGTTTCTAAAGGCTTATGGTTTTTTTTACCTTCATGCATTCTATGCCTTCATGCATAGAATGCATGAAGGTAAAAAACCATCGGAGGGGACTCAAATAAGGATTGGGGGCCTGGGAGGCCGCTGCACACAGAAGGCTCCTGCTGCTGTCAATCACAGCTAGTGAGCCAATGAGAAGAGAGTGGGGGGGGGGGTGCAGAGCCAAGCGGCAGCTTTATGTGTCTTATGGAGCAAGCATGCAGCGGTGCCCCCGGGACAAGCAGCTTTCTCTGGGGGCACTGCTCGAGGGGGAGGAGCCAGGAGCGCCGGAGGGGGACCCAAAAATAAGAGGATTGAGACAACTCTGTGCAAAACTACTCCACAGAGCAGATAAGTATAACATGTCTGTTATTTTATTTTTTTAAAAAAAGAAACTTTAGTATCACTTCAAGCTTTGGCAATAAAAAAATGGAAGCTGTGGGCCACACAGAGCAGAAGAAGGAATGAAGACTATTTTTGGTAGTCTTCATTCCTTCTTCTAATCTGTGTGGGCCCAGTGTTTGGCCTGGTCTCGTCCTCCTTCCCTTAGGTGTGGGAGTGGACCAATGGGCATGTGATGTGAGGTCTCCTTCAGGGGCAGCAGACATCCGTGTATACTGTTTCTTTGAACCAATAGCAACTCCATTATTTTAATTGAAAATTGTTTTAAGACTTTCAAAACACATTAATGAATTTTGTATTAATAATTGTAATATTTGTAAATATATATATATATATATATATTATTTTTTTTTTTTGTACTGTTAAGCTATGTATATGTTTCTGTAGACAATCCCTGCAAAGCCTTTGAAGAAGCAGATGTAGACTTTGAAACGTGTCGGCACTATTAGCAGGACATGTAATCGGCAAGCTCAATTATATGAACAGTTGGCTAGGTTTTAATCATTTGTTGACTACCTGGTGGAGTAGTCAGTCCACATTTAATGGACTTTAATAAATGAATTTCTATATTATATTCAATCTAAAAATTTGTAATAAAAGCGCATTTCAACATAATTATATATATATATATATATATATATATATATATATATATATTTAATATGGCCAAAATTGTAGTATTTCAAATATATGGCAATATATTTGGGAAGAATATTTTTAAAATATATTTCAAATATATTTTTCTTCTATATGGGTTATTGTCTAGCACAGCACCTCAAAAGTCCCTTAATATTTGGAGGTTTGCCCCTTCTGGATTTGGTATTGTTGGCTGGGATGTGACACTGGGCGTCCATCTCTTGAAAGGTGGGTTATGCTTTTTGGAGTTGTACACTTTCCTGTGGAAAAGCTGAATTCTTCTCTACACACACCATGAGCCCCAAGAATTTCTGAATGCTAGTAACTTTTTAAGCCTCTTGCCAATTTGACATTTTTTTTAAACTGTCTTTTGATTTTTTTTGGTAATTACTGATACCATCCCAGGCACAACACATAAAGGCTGGGTGCTTCCAGAGTGTGGTACCATCAGTGACCCTTAAAGGGAAGTTTGGCTATGTAAAAAAATCCTATACATGAAACAACAGAGCACTCTGCATTTGTAAAAAAAAAAAAACCATTTTCATAACAAATACCCTTATGTGCAGCCATATATTGCATAAAATATATGATATGAGCCCTTGACAAAGTCATAATGATGAAACATTTCAGGAGTGGCCAGGTGAATGCACACTGGGTCAGAGCAGTGGAAGACATGGGTTGAGACTGGTGTTTGCTCATTCAATGTCTGATTACATTTATCCTTTATACACTGGTGCAGGTTGATGTGTGAATGAGTGTAACTATAAACCTGTTAAGTGTTTTTCTCTTTATACTACACTATGTGACATTCCTGTTTTGTTTTTTTAGCTGAGCTTACTACCTAAAAGACTGCGGAGGAGTCGCTGTAGCTGATGGAGTTTCTTTAACACAGGTGCTATTAGACCTTTTGTTAACTCAAAGGTCAATTTGTTCTGGTGAGTGATTTTGCGCACACTGGGTGGATCTGAGCATGGAGTTCATAGCCATGTACATGCATAACTCCCATTTGTTATTTATTTGGAAGGACTGTCCCTTCTTTTGGGACAAAGACCCTCTGTCCCACTTTCCTCCTCATTTGTTCAGATGTATATACCTGTATAAAAATGCAGTATCAAAAAGTGTTTTAGAGTGCTAAACTTTTCATCCAATTTCTATATTGTTGCATATGTAAATTTCAAAAGTCAGTATAGAGCAGTGTTTCTCAACTCCAGTCCTCATGGACCCCCAACAGGTCATGTTTTCAGGATTTCCCTCAGATGAAACAGCTGTGGTAATTACTAAGGCAGTGAAACTGATCAAATCACCTGTGCAAAATAATGGAAATCCTGAAAAACATGACCTGTTGGGGGTCCATGAGGACTGGAGTTGAGAAACACTGGTATAGAGGAACAGTAGTAAAAAAATCACTTGTGGCTTTAACCAGTCATTTGTTTGTGTATCAATTCTCCATTTAATGGGGCTGTGACAGGGCAGTGTCCTTTGCCTACATTTTGCTAATAGGTGTCTCTCTTTCCCATCTTCCCATCTTAGAAAGTTGGGAGGAATGCATGGCAGAATGAATGCATGGGTTGAAGGAATACAGATTTTCCATAAGAATGCAAACTAATAATTGTGGGGTTTTTTTCACATTTAGTTTGTTTTGTGGCTGTCATTTGTTTCACATTTTATTGATTATATGGTACTATAGCACCTGTTTATGCTTAATAGCTATTTTGTTTTTGGAAATAGCAAAGTGGTGTTGATAATTCTATTTTTCAACCTAGGGGTATTCATAATCAAGGTATTTGTTTAGGGATTTTTTTTAGATTTTTATTCTGAGTTTTGGCACTCTGAGGTTTCAATTTAGTATTTTTGAAGTGGTTTACACATTATTTTTTCTCCTAGAGCAGCACTGTTGCACAATATTCACTTTCTCTTGTTTTTTTTTAGCAAACTCAGTAGCAAATAATTTATAAATAACACTCCTCCCCTTTACTTCTTTGCTTTGTGGGGCACTTGTACCATGGGAAAGTCAAATGCCTGCCAAAAGTTGGCTTCTAAAAGGGCATACAGGCTGGTATTACTATCTAGGGTCCCTAAGTTTACAGCCTTCTTACTATGGAGATACATCACCAGTATGCCTGTTGTGTCTGACAAATACCAACAAGGAGAGAATTATAAGTAAAAAGAAAAAAAAAAAAGATTGGCAAATCTGATTTTAGCAATTGTAAGCTGTTCTTGACCTGCATTTTTATCTGTATAGCAAAATACAGCTTAGAATTTCAGTGATTTTTAGATTAAAGTTACATACTTGTGTCTGTCTACATACTGCAAAAAAGGGGTTACATAACAGCTTTATTATATTTTGTCAGTGCATCGAATCTAGACGAAATATTAGTCAACCTTTATTTTTCTGTGCCTTACCTGTTATACTGCTATTTGCAAGTTGCTGCTGAATATATTGTTTATTCATGAGACTGCAGTCATAACTGTGCACTTGAAAACAGCATACAACATACTGTACTTTAGCATCTTCATACTAAGTTGACTAAATTGTAGTGAATCGGTACTGCATGGACATGGGGATGTGAGTGGAGTCCTAAAAGTAATTTATTTAGTGCAAATAAAAAGTGTTTACATAGATTCCTTCCATTACAAGTAAGTATTAGCAAAGCCACTATGGGGCCCATTTATAATAGAAAGTAAATACTGATATGCTCGTTCTGTAATGCTCCATGAGTTTATTCTACCACAGGCTCCACACATGCATTTTATGAATGAGCTTTAAAATGCAGGCTGTGGTGTGGAGCATATGGTTCTATGGAGTTCTCTCTGGTTAGATGTGAGTGGGTTCTCTTCATTTTAATAGCATTCTCAAAGCCAGCAGAGGGCTATGTACATTTATAAATGTACAGTAAGACAGCAAGACCATACCACTGCTTTTTAAATGAATTCCTAAGTGACTACTTTCATGGAGAAAGATATGTGGACTTTCTTTACAGACGAATAAAAGTTTTGGCTGTGCCTTGCTTAATATGAACTCTAACGAAAAAATGAGTTTAAATTTTATGGCGTAATTAGGGACCTAGTGTGTACAGTTATACTTGGCTACATGGCTACAATATAAAGAACCAGTATTCAATTTCTTTGTAAATTTCTTAATGTGGTTTCCATTTTTCTGTAGAAAGTATATGTTGGCCTTGGCTGATTTCCAAGAAGAGTGCTCTGACATAGTAGTGGGAACAGTAAAAAGAGGAACTGGATGGAGAAATTTTGTAGCAGCAGATCTTTAAAGCAGGGAGTTGTAGGTGACCATTTATTTGCACACTAGGGGGTTGATTTACTAAAGGCAGATAGACTGTGCACTTTGCAAAGTGCAGTAGAGTGCAATTGCAGTTATTCCAGAGCTTAGTAAATGAGGTAAAGTTTCTCTTTGCAAAGTATACCCAATCAGGTGCAAGGAACATAAAAAAAAACAGCATCATGATTGGATGATGGAAGTCAACAGAGCTTCTGCTCATTTACTAAGCACTGGAGCAATTGCTCTTGTAGAGTGCAACTGCACTTTGCGAAGTGCACAGTCTATTTGCCTTTAGTAAATCAACCCCATGGTCTTTTAAAGGGCATGTATATTGTTTTTACATATATTTTTTATCAATGGATTATGTTCAAGACTGAGAAATTAAATGTTTCAGAATTGCAGGTAAATACCTACTGTATATTGCATAATGATATTTCATATTCAACAGTTGCAGCCAGCTGTTACGGCAATGCTAGTTTTAGGAAAGTTTTCCACTTGTGTATTAACCTGTATGGCAGTACACAAAATTGCAAACGTTCACACATCAGAATCACTGAAAGACATGCATCCCTCCCTATGTCATAGTAGAGATGGTGCTCATTTGGATATCCTATATGCAGCAATGTCAACATGTGTAGTGATAGAACTGGACTTTCTTATTAGAAACAAAAACCTCTGGTGGTTCAGCAGCATTATTCCCTAAAGCAGTAACATCCTGACGACAACCACATTTAGCTAGGGACATGAATGACAATGATTCAAGCAAGCAGTTTAGTTGTAGATGGAATCATAGAGTACAACTGGTGTAGCACATCTTATGTTTAGGCTCCATGTACACGGGACGTTTGGAAAACACTTCTGAACGATGGAAACTGACTGCTGGAAAACGTAGGTTAAAAAATGTCTGTTTCGCTGCATTTGCATACTGTGTTTATGCGCATTTGCGTTTAGAAGCGTTTTTTAAAGATAACATGAGGAGACCTTCTAAAATGCCCAGAATGCACTGAAAAACAGTAAAAAATTAACTATTTCAGACATTTTGAGAGAAATAGAGAGAGCAGAAGCAGAGAGAGCAGTATTTGTTAAGATTAGTTGTCTTTTTTTTTTAGTGGTGTTTGGATGTGTTCCAGCTCATTTCTGTGCAGAAATTATTGCAGCAGTGTCTAACATATTTTCTTTCATGTGAAACCTCAAAGTATGGTGTACCAGGTCCAGGTCCATTTGAGCACTGGGAAAACGCTTTGCATGCATTTTTCATGATGAAAAAAGGCTCTGGACAGCATCTGGAAATGGAAGAGTTAAAAAAAAAATTCCAAACGCTTATAAACGCGGTTAGCCGCGTTTTCAAGTGTTTAACGTTTGAAACACTGATAAAATCTACTCCTGAATGCAAGTTTGGTGTGTTCAAAAAAACAACTGGAAACTCAACTGCCTGTAAACAACTGTAAACGACGATGTGTACATGGATACATAGAAAAACATTAGGGAGAGTTCAGGGGCTGCTGAAAATAATGCAGAAAAGCTCCTGAACGTGAGTTTATCAGCTGCAGTGTACATGGAGCCTTATACTATTTTTTAATTATCCAGAAAAAGAATGTCTGAGTTTATTTACAGGATCTGAAGCCAAGTTTTTTCTTTTATCTAATGAGAAACATAAAGACATTGTTGCTGCACCCCAAAATAACTTTCTAGCCAGTCTATTACTAATCTATCAGCATGATATATCAGATAAAACAGTGCAGGTGTAAAGTCCTAGGTAAACTAAAAAGCAGCCTATTGACCATTTTTTGAATACGTATTTATTAATGTCATGACAAATATGGCACTGGGGACATGTAAAGCAGATAGAAACTGCCATATGCGCATTTTTAATTTCTCTGCAACATAACTCATTAATATGATCACCCAAATAAATTAGAAAGAGAACTACATAAATATGTATGTCATTTTCCTCTGTTCCTCTAAGGTGAAAAATCATCAAAACTTTGCAGTGTGAAAATGCAGGTCCCTCCAGGACTTCCAAAGGTCAATGCCAACAGGGTGTTATAAAGAGTGATGTATATTAAGGCAGGTACCAGCATTTAGTCTCACGTTTGCCTAGTGGAGTTCTGTAAGGTAGAAATGATTATTACTTCTGTTTAGAATACCCTTAAACCACAACACTATACAAAGAATGCATTCAGCAATAAGAAACATTTTCTACAACCTGCCATAAGGGACACAATGAAAATGGGTGATGGGTCACATGGTTTACGATAACATTCAAAATGTATAGGATGGCTCTGGTCACACATTAATGGAGGAGACGGAAGGGACAGAACTCACGTACAGGCTGTCGATTCTCAGCGAATCCTTTTCGGAGAAATATACAGGCCGGGCCCAGCAGGTTGTGCATCACTGCGCAGTTTTGTGCCAAAAGCATTAGAGGCCCCTGAGCACCCTCTTCCCCAGACTGCGCCGATCTGAGACAGCTTCGCTCCTCCTGGTGCATCTTATAACATACAGAGTGTTACCAAAGGAAACTGTAGGATCGGTATTAAAAAAGGGATTTCACCTGTCCTGCTACTCCTATGTATGTGACCTATGGGTCACTAAGAGGCTTGCAACCTCTCAGATCTTATTTATTTTCAGTCTTGAACCTCAAATCCTCCCTAAGGTTAGACCCTTTTCATATTACTTTTCTAGCTTCTCAAAAACACTATCTCTCTTTTTATCCTATCTATCTCTGTGTACCTAGTAATTGGTAAAGGAACATTTTCCAGATTCTCTTTCCCTTGCCATCTCTTTTTCCCTCCTCCCGTGTATCTCCTCTCTATATAAGGAACTGTTTTAGTCTAGTACTGTCGGACCTTTCATTCCCACGCCTTTATAAGACATCATTCTCCTTGCTGTTTGTGTGCCTCCTTTGGGAATGCACAACCAGGTTCATGGGTCATATAACAAATTTAGGATATCATCACAGACTTAAAAATAAATGGGAATAAAACCAAACAGTTTTATAGACCATCCAAATAATATCCAGACACAGAGCAAAATCTATGGCTATATGTACGCTATGGCTGAGAGAAGAGTCGAGAGAAATTCTGCAAGTGTAAAACAGACTCAGCAGAGGGACCTACACTTGTCATCGGTCCTTTGGAGAATTAAATAGGACTCATTCAGATTAACATAGGAAAGGGTCTTTAAACATTAAATTTAAGCAAAATTATCCTCCCAAAGAGATTTATGTTATAGCTACCTGTGTTTCTGTTCAAGCCATCAACCCCATCTCATCATTCACTATAGGTGCTACGCTATGGGGACACGTACCTTCTGAGAGAGGTTTCGAAGAGGAGACTTGACACAATTCCCCATGCCACCCAGAACAGAGGATGAGCTTTCCCGAGGGAAGAAAGATAGAGAGGGCAGCAGCCAGCGAGGCATCCCGCACAGTGAGCGCCTCTGAGCCTGGGGGGCAGTCAGCGGCGTCCCACAGATTAGACCCTTTGAGCCGCAGATTGTTTCTCTGATAGAGCCTCTGATTACAGCAGATAAACTGCAGCAGAAACTATTCCCTGATGAGCTCAGAGAATCCGGCTAATTTGGAGCTGGTCCCCTTCCCCCATGAGCCTTACAGCTTTTCAATGACATGATGTGGGACAGATCAGCTGGAGGCGTACACAGGATTCATGACACTGACGTCGACTCAGAACAGCGCCAGGAATATTCTGATTTTGGGATTTGGGTGGAATCATGGTTTTTTGTCAACTATATTGTTGTCAGTGGGCAGCGATGCCATGAAATGGTTAACAAGCTTTGGCTTCCCTTTGGCTGCTTGTTTAAGGATGCTTGCTCGCCAACAGCCACAATGTAGACCAAAGAGGCATGTCAAAGAAAGGACAATGTAGCATTATGCCTGGCATAAAAGAATCAGACTGAGCATGTCCCGCTCATGACTATAAAAGCACTACATATCCAAGTCGAACATATGCGAGGACTTGCTGCATAGTGTCTGCAATCACAACTCCTGGAAGAAAAGAGGATGCAATACAAGATAAGGCTGCCTGCTGGATCACACGTAGTTCTATATAAAAAAAAGCAATTATAGGTCTGCCTGCGCTGGGAAAGATGAGAAAAGGATGTCAGCGCTGGAGATTGAATTGAAAAACAACCTCTCACTCAAAACAGAGGTACACAATGATCGCGTTTTCTAGGTCAATGGCCGATATAGTATACAAGAAATGGTAAGCATTGATCCAAGATGCCATTAATAGCTGGCTCTGGTTTATTTAGCTCACATTTATTATTATTTATATTACTACTAATGGTGGTGAATTTCTACAACTCACTGTATCACAATGCGACCTTTCTACAAAAAAGCAATCCAAAGTCTACCATTATGCTAATTACACAGTGACATAAATAGGCTACTTCTGATAAACTATGAACTCCTATTTTGACCTGTATCCCAAAAGAAATATAACTGTGTACATGATAAAAAAGACAAGAAGGTTGTGAACACATTTCCATTTAATATATCTTCTAAATGAAATGGAAGATCCACAATGAGTATTTGCTGATATTATGTAAGTCAAGGATATTAGAGTGAAATGCTATGATGGCCAGGGTGGTGAGCTACATATGCTACAATGATTATCCAACTAAACAAATCTTGTCTCCAGACTACACTACATAAAAAAGGACACCTTCTGTCTACATCACTCGCAAAATAAAAAATAATATGATTGTTAGTAGTATTCGTCCTGACAAAAAAATTTCTTTTGTTTTTGAAAATAGGAAAATGTTCAAATTGTCTTTCAAGATTATTTTTGCTGTCTGCAGCTTTGTTGTTGGTCCCCCTTGTTTTGTATGATTTCCTTCACTTCATGTGCCAATAACAGTCTTAAGCAGCAAGTGAAAGAAAATCTCTTCAATAGAAAAAAACATTTTTCCTTGTTTACCAGAGTGAGGTAGGGCTAGAATTTCTGTAAGAGTTTTAGGCCCCTTTCACATGTGCAGACTGTTTGTTTTTTCATCCATCCGTTGATGGATGAAAAACGGGAATCAATGTATCTCTATGGAAAAACGGATGCGGATCTGCATCAATCAACATCTGTTTTTTGCAATAGATCAATGCCCTATTTTTGTTCCGTAAAAAAAAAAGAAAGCACGAAAAATGGATGTAAATCTCTTAGATTGTAAGCTCCAAGGAGCAGGGCCCTAACCTAACCCTCTTGTATTGAACTGTATTGTTGCTGTATTGTCTCCCGTTATATTGTAAAGCGCTGAGCAAACTGTTGGCACTATATAAATCCTGTATAATAATAATAATAATGTAAATGGACAAACGATCCTTTTTTGCATTGATAATCGATGTAAAAAACTGATTTAAAAACTGATGAATAACTGATGAAAACTCCATCTGTTTTTTCTTTGAAAATGTTTAACTGACCTGATGAAACGAATGGTCCACAATGCGTGAAAGCGGCCTTATTGGTGTTTTTGTATTCTGTGGGGACAAATCGTTAAAAAACAGAGGTTCTCTTCCTTCTCCACTTTAGGCAAAACTATGATAAGATGAGATAATAAATGAGCCTTCACATTAAACTTTGTTGCTATAGCCTTCCATCAAGGAAATATATAGGTAAAAGTTATACACTCCCTGTCCTTGAGTGACATTCCACTCATCGTACTGTATTGATAGATAGGGATGAGCGAATGTGTCTAGGTTCAGTTACATAGTTAGTCTGGCTGAAAAAAGACAAAAGTCCATCCAGTTCAACCATTAAAAAAAAAAAAAAAAGTTATAATCCTACACCCACAGTTGATCCAGAGAAAGGAAAAAAACCCAGCAAAGCACGATCCAATTTGCTCCAGCAGGGGAAAAAATTCCTTCCTTATCCCCCGAGAGGCAATCAGATATTCCCTGGATCATCATAAATCTTAGTATATATTCCCCAGGAACTCTTGAGGGAATCTACTCCACATTTTCACAGCTCTTACGGTTCACACGGTGTTTGTCAATCTCAAAGTACAATCCAAAAATTGTGAACTTAAGCCTGCGCCCAGTTGAAGTCTGTGTGTGTGGGGGGGATTGAAAATCCACACTGGCCACTTTCAAGGCTAATAGACAACCGATTGTCAAAAAAGGCAGAGGGAGCTGAGCATTGGCATAAGGGGCATGCACCAATGCAAAATTAAAAAAAAAAAAAAAGTAAAAAACAATACTGTATAGTAGGGTCCTTTTCTTTAAGCAACTTCAAAGGTGACAAGAACAAACACAAATCCTTTAAATGATATGCTTGGGATGCCTTGAAGTTTTCTGTGGTGTTCTAGAACAGTACGATTGTCACAGACAGCGTCAGCAACACCATATTGTGGCATCACATATTTTGCAGGTGTAATAGATTCTTTACATTTTACATTTTGTTTGGCTTAAACACAACAGCAGTGCTCCAATCAGATTCACTACAACTTGAAAAAAGTATTTTTGATAGTTTTGGATGCAACTAATTTTTCATCAAGCCGTAATAGGCCTAAATTGACTGGAGAAAGTAGCAGTCACAACAGATCTAAAAGCTATTCATACTTCATTACTACATTTTTCCATGAAGTGGATACAGGTGTAGAGGTGGGTGTTGGATACATTTTCTATGTTGCCCAGCCCCCCATACTCCATTAATATAATGGTTGGCTTTAAATGATATATTTACCATTTAGGAGGACATTTTTTGCGGTATGAGAAGTATACGAATAGAATAATGGTTGGCTTTAAATGATATATTTACCATTTAGGAGGACATTTTTTGCGGTATGAGAAGTATACGAAGAGAGGCCGATAAAAGTTCAAGATTAGAGGGTCTCTATACCATTCACTCAGCATATTTGAAGCCACTTATTTTTGGAGGTAATTTTTCATTCAGTGGTCTTGATTTATGTGTATATTATGTGGCTTGTATCCCTTTCTTTTTTCCCCCATTGGGCTTCCAGGGGGTTCTGCCCTTTTCCTCCTTTTGTTCCCTCCCCCTCTTTGGTGCACCTTCAATATGATGCTCTATTTTGTCAGAATGAGAAAAAATATGTTTTTTTGATTGTTTGTATTTGTTCTTATATTAGTAGTCAAATGTCTATATGGTGATGGCTCCTGAAGGAGTGGATTAAGTCCATGAAACGCATTGAGCCCAAGCCGATAAGAATGAGCCTAAAGTTTACAAAGAATTTTGATCACATGGGAAGAGATTTGCTGTTCCTTGATATTGTAAACTTTTCGTTTTCTACATGCTTTAGTACTGTTGATGTAAAATAGAATGTTGTTTAATACATTGGATTTTGATACAAAATAAATCATGTTTTTAATGCTATGTTGTGCCTCCAAAGTCCCCATTTTCAGGTCTCTTTTTTTGGTGCTATTCATACAAATTGGTTAGTGGCACAACAGTTTTAGTATAGTCTGCAAGTTTTTTTTTTCACCGTGCCCCAGGTTTAAAGAAATGTCAAACACTTCAAAACCACAATCTCATACTCCCCCATCGTCTTTCCATTCCTGTATTACCAATTATTACATTTAAAATATAGACTTCAGGTATGTGTTTGCTAGAAACTGGCTAGTGTCAGAACAGTGTGCGAGCAGCTCTGTGGTGTGGGTCTTTCAAAAGACCCTTTGTGAAGAAGTCGGAAGTGACGAAACGCGTCAAGGAAGTGACGTCGGACGTAGACTTAAAAACCTGAAGTTGTGAAGCGACCATCTTGATTGAGGTTTTTCATTCACTGATTGACATTTTTCAGAGGATTCATGTTCCCTATTAAGGAGGAGTAAAAAAAGTTTTTTTTCATTTGTTTTATTGTAAGCATAACTTTATTAAAGTAAATCCCTTTTATCATGACATACTACACTATAAACATTATTGGGTTTTTTTGGAGGAAAAAATTGAAGAAAGAAAAGGACGGATTGGAGCACGGTTTTTGGAGTATATGAAATTGAAAGCTAGAGACAAGTTTTGATAGGGTAAGGGTGTTTAATACAGCCATTTAGATGTGGACACTAAGTGGGGTGACACGTTAGTAACACGAGGTGATTATATGAAATATTGTACATTTATGTGGGATAATGCACTATATTGAGTTTTCTTTTTTTGAGGTTTTCACAGATTAAAAGAAATATCTCTATGAAGGTGGATTAAATTTTGGGAACACGTAATATTTTTGAGGATATCACAGATAGACAGAGATTGTTACATTGACTTGACTTTTGAACTTTCGGGGAAGAAAGTGGAACTTTTTGCGTCTAGGGAGATATAGTAATATTTGGAGTGATTATTGTTAGGTTAACTGCATTTGTGTGAGGACATGACTAAATACCAAAGAGTTCAGTAGGA